CTTCCAGCTCTTCATCGGGTTCCATTCAGTCCACAAGCTGTTGTATTGTTTTTCTTAAAGTTTCAAAGCGTCATTCTTTTTTTTTTTTTTTTTTTTTTTTTTTTTTTGGTTTATATATAAAGATTTTTTTTTTTTTTGCTATTACCTCATTTCGCCATCATTTCGCACTTTATAGTATTTTAATTGACTACCGTGCACTGCCCCTTTTATTACCCTTTCGTCATTTCCCATCATACGTAATTAGTACATACCATTACCTATTACATCATGTATCCAGTACGGTCCTGACCACTTTTCCTCTAACTTACCACCTAATTGTTTTCTTAGCTTAGCCCGGTACCTTAACACCTTATCTCCGATCCCGAAACTTTGCAAGGGGTATTGTTGGTCGTGGCTCCACTTCTGCTTTTGTTGGGCCTTGCGAATGTTCTCACGTGCCTTGATCCGAACTTCAAACAGTTCGTCCGCCAATTTTAAGGTTCGGGCTAAAACCATGGACTCATAGTAGTCATCATCCATAGGATCCACAGGGTAAGTTTCCAACAGTAATTCTACAGGCAACACAGCCTCTCTTCCATACATCAGGTAAAAGGGGTCATATTTGGTCATACCATGCTTGGCCGTCCTGCAAGCAAATAGAGCAGGGCTCACATATTCATCCCAGTTTCCTTGGTACTGACTTACGCACTTTGCTAGCGCCTCACAGATGGTTCGATTGAACTGTTCAACAAGACCGTTGGTCTGTGGGTAATACGTGGATGAGAACTTGTACTTGATACTGGCCCAGTTACAGGCCTCCTCTATAACCTGGTTTTTAAAATGGATCTCTTGATCCGTCAAAATCTGTCGGGGGCAGCCATGTTAACCAATTATGTCTTCCAACACAAAGGCAGCAACAGACTCTGCCATACAGTCGGGCAACGCTCGAACCTCGGGCCATTTCGTCAAATACTCTATTGCTACCACCAGGTACCTGTTACCGTTTCTCATGAGAGGCAAGGGCCCCACTATGTTCATTCCTACTCGGTCAAAATGTTGTGCCATCTGTATCGGGTGTAACGCCTCCTGTGTTTTTGGTTTCCCACGATGTTGACAGGCATCACAACTCTGTATGTAGCTTTTGATATCCCCTATCATTTGATTCCAATAGTACCGTCTTCGTGCTTTCTCTATTGTTGCTCTTTCACCTAAATGGCTGGATGTGGGGTTATCATGTAAAGCTCTCAGTACCATCCTTACTTCCTCACGCTTTAGTACTCTTAAAGGCCGATCAGGTTCTCGATGGTTTTTCTGATACAGCAGTCCTTCTCGTACAACATAATACCTGGACTGATTCCTTAACTTTCGGTTTTGTTCCTTTGAATATTCCCTAGGCAGCTCTAACTTAGTCAGGTACTAAATCAGGTTAGTATAATCTTTGGGTTTCATCTTAGAGATTTGTTTAGCTTGTTAGTTTTCTTTTTTTTTTTTTTTTTTTTTTTTTTTGTATATATATATGCCAGGACACCGTCACCTGGACTGGATTACAGATTTGGGTCAAGAATCTACTTATAATTGGTTAAGAGCAGTTTCCAGATGGTAGATTCGATTCACCTTAGGGTAGCTAGCTCGAAAATACTTGTATGTGGTTGGGTCTCTCTCTTGGCTCATCATTTTTTTTTTTTTTTTTTTTTTTCGCTTCTTTCAGTTGTTACGTTGTTTTGCAGCTGGTCACGTTAGTACTTTTACCAGGCTATTGATTTATGCGCTCCAAACTCCGCGCATAAATGTCATAGCTGACCCTTAACTACTACATCCATGTTATTATTAATATTATGCTTATTTATGTGCAGATATATCTATATTATTATTATTATATATATATATATATATTTTTTTTTTTTTTTTTTTTTGTTATTATTTTTATTAATTTAATAATAATTTTTTTTCACTCAAACTCCTCTACCCGTGATAGCCCGTCAACATTCTCCAGTTGCCTCTCAGGTCGGTACTTTATCATGAAATCATAGCCCTGAAGAGTCATAATATATCTTGCCATTCTGCCAGTCGGGTTAGCCATATTGTTAAGGTAGGTCAAAGCTGTGTGATCGGTTACTATTGTAAATTGGGATCCGTGGAGGTATTGGTGAAACTTCTTCATGGCCCAAATGATAGCAGTACATTCTAACTCAGTTATTGTGTAATTTCGCTCAGCAGGCTTCGTTGATCGACTGGCATACTCCACAATACCTTCTAGCCCGTTATCGCCAGGCTGAGATAGAACAGCACCAAGAGCAAGGTGCGATGCGTCTGTGTACAAAACAAATCCAACGTCGTCCTAAGGGTAAGTGAGGATGGGAGCTGAAGTGAGCCTACTCTTTAATTCGTTGAATGCTTCTTGTTGCTCCTTCCTCCAGGTAAAATTTTTTCCTAATTTCAATAGCTTGTAAAGAGGCATGACTATATCCGAGAAATCTTTAATGAAGCGATGATAGAAACCAGCCAGACCTAGAAACCCTCTCAATGCATGAAGGTTCTTGGGTCGAGGAAAGTTACTCACAGCGGCTACTTTTGTGACAGGTGGGGTTATACCTTTGCCAAAGATTTCATGCCCCAGGAACTCTATTCGGTCTTGTTTAAAATAACACTTGTCCAGATTCAATTTCAGATTCGCTTGGCACAGTTTACCAAGAACGACATCTACATGGCCTAAGTGTTTTTCGAAACTAGAAGAGTATATGTTGACGTCATCCATATAGGCCAGAATGAAGTCCCACATTTCTTTCTGGAGCACACGATCCATTAATCGCTAGAAAGTGGCAGGAGCATTTGTTAGGCTGAAGGGCATCACTACGAATTCATATAGTCCGAATTTGGTGGTAAAAGCTGTCTTTTCGCAATCACGTGGATGAACTCCGAACTGCCAGAATCCACTGGCGAGGTCTAGGGTGGTATACTAGGTCGAGTTTTTGAGTGCTCCCAATAACTCATTAATTCTCAGGAGGGGGTAGCTATCACGTTTCGTTCGTTGATTCAGCTTCCTAAAGTCAACATACAGCCTCATTTTCCCATTTTTCTTCTTAACCAATACGACGGAAGATGCCCACGGACTGCACGACAGACGAATTAACCCAGCTTTCTCCATTCTCTTTATTTCCTGCCCAATAAATCATGCTCCACCTTGGACATAGGATAAAACCATTGCTTTATAGGGGGGCCTCCCTCTGTATGAATTTCATGATGCACAACGGATGTCCTTCCTAGCTGGTCGGGTTCACAGGCAAAAATGTCTTCATACCGTCTTAATACCTTCCTTATTTGCTGCTGCTGATCTGGGGTCATATTTCCTAGCTTGAATTTGTCTGTCTTCCTTCCCCCTGTATATAGTCTTGCTTTTCGATCCTCAACTTCATTCCACATACACTCCTATTCATAGTGTCCTCTCCTTAAGCACAGCCTGCACATGACATCGGTCTCCTCCCTTATAGGGTAGAACCTGCAATACAAATAAGTTTGACTCACCAACCCTTCCTCCTTTTCATACTCATCCTCTTCACTAAATTCTGATTCGTCCTCATCTTCACCATCTTCGTCATTTTCCGAATCGCTTCCTTCATCCTCCTTTTTTCTCTCCTCATTTGTGGCCATCTTTGCTATTCGATCCCCAATGTTCGCTGGCTTACAATACTCAGTTGGGACCTTTATCCTCTCATTTCCATCCCTTAGCATCAACTCACAGGATTCCCAATCCAATCGTGCTCGAGCCTTTCTCATCCAATCGTTCCCCACAATTACTGTGTAGTTTCCAGCATCAGTTACAACTGCTCAGGACGTTATAGTTTTTCCTCCAACTGTTACTGGAAATTCGTCAATCTCTCCTAGTGGCCTTTTCTGTTCGCCGTGTATGCCCGTCATCATCACTGTAGATGGATGATCAATCATTATGCCAACATCCTTTAGGAACCCAGCAGAAACAACACAACCAGAGGAGCCACTGTCCAAGATCAGAATGATTGGTTTACTGTTCACTTGAGCATTACAGTACATTGATGTTATATATGAATCATCACTCCTATTGAGACAAAATTCGACAAGTTTCTCTTTCGTCACCCTCCTAGGCCGTAACACCTTCAACGCCTCCTTCCATATGTTAGGTGCCGCTTGAAAGAGCTAAGCATATGTTATGTCGGCCTTTTTGTTCTGCAGGTCTGTCATTATCGAATATGGCTGGATTTTCGCCATTACTGGAGGTTCCACTGGCTTCGTAACCTTCCTTTTCACGACCTTTTTACTGTTCTCTTGCTCACTTTTCTGATCACTTGCTTGTTTACTTGCTTGATTGTCTTCACCACTACGACTGTTCCCAGACAGAGGCTCTAGTTCGGCGGGTTCTTCATCAACACGTTTTCTTTTCGCCATGTATGCTTCTTCAATCTTTGCAATGGAGAGATTTGTGATTAGTTGCGCACTCTCACCCTCTAAAAGTGCACTTCCGAGTTTAAATGTTCGAATTCGTCTTGTATTTGCGCTATTATTGCTTGTGCCCTTGAAGTTTCTTCCACTATCCTATTATCGTTCGTAGAGGCATTATTCTGAGATGGAACCAGGGGATTATTACTGTTCCCATTACTATTAACACGATTGTTGGTCGGACACTCACAGGCATAATGTCCTACTTGTTGGCAAGCATAGCATACGGGTGGCTAGTTTATTCTATCGGGTCGGTTTCCATTTTGTAGGGGGCATGACCGATTGTTGTTGTTGTTACCATTATTCCTTACTGCTGTGGCCACCTCTCAGAGTAGTGTCATAACCTGCTCTATTGAAGCATTCGGAGGTTGTGTAGGTGTGACTGGTTGGTTCACAGAATACATTGGTTGGTGTGATGGTGACATGGATGCTTGGGTGGTTGCATAGGCTAGCTGATGGTATAATGCTGGCCCACAAACTGACATTCCTCTTGCAAAGGTCATTTCGCATGTTCGTGCCCTGTCGATAGCTTCCTGGAGTGTATTCAGCATAAATGGTCCTACAACCAGTGATAGGTCTGGACGAAGTCCCTGAACGAACATTTGTGCTTTAGTTAATTCGGGGTACTGGTTCCCAACTCAGGTAACCTGATTGAACAATACCAACATGTCTGCAGCATATTGGTCTACCGTTTCTTCTACGTGTTGCCGTCTTGTTAGTAATTCGGTATTCCACTGGTTGATTAGGGCCAAAGTACAAAAGTTCCGATGAAACTGGTGTACGAAACTTTGTCCTGCCATTGTCTCGTTATTCCAGTAACGTATTTCTATTCCCTGGTTTTCCAAACTTTCCTACCACAGCGCGGCAAGGTCAGATAGGTGCGCACTTGCTATTACAATTCGCCTGACTTCTTGGATGTTGTTGGCATTGAATGCTCGTGTGATCAACTCAATCCATTCCACAGGGTCCTGGTTTCTCCTACTAAACATAGGATAGTTTACCACATTCCATTTGCCTAATTCCAATTGTGGCTCCTGAGATAGTTTTAAGGCATTTGCTAGGAGTTGCAATAATTGCATTGTTTGTTGGTCCGGGTTGGTTGCTGTTCATGGTCCATTGGGAGGTTCGGATTATCCAATAGGCTTTCATTACTAGGGGGTTTGCTACCTTCCCGAGTGTTCCCTCTATTCATACATTCGAAATCATGATCACTGTCTCCTGAGGTTAAATCGTTAATCACATTTTCCTACATTTTCCTATAATCTTTGTCCTATTGTCACCGTTTTGCCCACACAGTGCTTATTTATATTCTTTTTCCAATATTTCTACTACTCGTACATACACAGTGATCATCGATGATTAATTACACGGTCTTTCGGCGGTTGCCCACTCTGGTATTCTTCCACACAATCGGCACCAAAATGTTGTAGTTGGGGAGAGTCTTTCTTATATGTTGCCAGTTTAACACAGTACTACAAGCATAGACAGGGCCTCAACTTAGCTCCTAACTGACAGACAAGTCTAGTCCGGAGTGATCCCGATTACTGGGTTGCTGATAGGTCAACAGAAGTCACATGCCTAACTCTAACGGGTTGTCAGTTTCTAAACAATA